AATTAATTATATTTATTGATCTTAATTTAAGATAATTATATTATTTATTTTGATTAAAGATTAATAATATAATTAATTAATTTTAATTAATGTTAAATTAATTATTTAATTAAATTAATGATCATATTAATTAATTTAAATCTTTAATTTCTATTAATTTTAATCAAAGTCAAAATTATCTTTTTTTATTTTAATTTCATCCAAAACTTTTATAATTAAGCAATTTAGTCCACATATTTCAACTCTTTTCAAATCAGTCCTCTATATTTTGAATTTAATTAAATCAGTCCTTCATGTTTTGAATTTAATCACATTAGTCCCTTAACTTTTTATTTATGCTCATTTCGCATGCATGTTCTTGAATTTGTCCATTTTAGTCCAAATATTTTTTTAAATATTGCAATTTGGTCCATCCATTTCTCAAGTTTACTTATTGAGACTCAAACATAAATAAAATAAATAAGTTGAATCAAAACCCCAATTTTAAAGTATGTAGCCGTGTTTAAGCAAAAGATTGTGAAGTGCGCATATTCCCTTCCTTACTTCTAACTGAACTCTCAGACCCCGATCTCTATGTAGACTTGTTTTTTTTTTTTTTGACTTGTCTCACCTTATAATTTGGACGAGTGGCAACTCCTTCTTTTTATATTTTTACACTTAATCCTTTTAAGTAGTCGTCAACAGATCTGCAACTTCACTAGGGACCGAACCTAGAATCTCTGGTTTCCATATTCTAGGTTCACGAGGGTCGAGCTAATACTTTAACTTTAAGGAATTTTTAACTTTTGATTTTTCTTTGTTTTTTGAGTCTTTGTGGGTCTTTGTTATTTATTGTATGTGCTTGTCGCGTGTTGCTTGTTGCTTGTTGCTTGTTTGCTCATTGTTTCGGTGGTTGCTTTGATTGTTTTTGCCTTTGTTTAGTTTCTTGTTACGTCTTGACATGCATCATGTTTTGCTTACATGTTCACGCATCATATTATCTCACATGCTCATGCATCATTAAGGTTACATGCTTATTCATCATGCATCACGCTTATATGCCTCATTGTTTGTATGTGGATGTGCTAACTATTTGCATTTGGCATGAGAGTACTAGGTGAGTCCCTTCCTACTGTGTAAGTAGGTTTGTTTGTGAGTGCTATATTTGTTGGGTGCTTTACATGTATGTTTGCTTTATCTACTTGCCGTGAGATATATGTTGCTATTTTTGTGGTTGCCATTATGCAGGTTATTGGAGTGTCATGCCCCTTGCACACACCCACTATTATTCTGCATTAGGTCCGTGTCGGAGGTGAACTCGACCTCTAGTCTGGAATCCTTACAAATCTGGCTTAGAAGAGCAATTCTTCCTGCTTTGAGGAGTAAGATCGGTTCCCATTAGGTTGTTTCCATTGGATACTATGACACTTGATGATGTAATATCATCCTGCGTATTAGCTTTTGGAAATATCTCTCGTTGATTCATAAAAGGATAAATGGTTGAGAAGGCCTAATGCCCTTTAGGAAAACATGTATTAACCTTAGAAAGGTGCCAACCCTAGGACATGTTTCCTTTAGCATCGCACCCGTGAGGTTAGACGTCTCGTGTTTAGGACACAGAAGGGGCATTTTATTTCACTAACCTTTGTTTGCGCATATGGTAGCTTATTTTTGGACACTTAATGAGGTATGGCATGTGAGGGTATGATTTATGTTTAACTTATTTAAGCCTTTTGTTTAGGTAAGATCATGCATTAGACATGGAATTTACCGAGGATACAACTAGACAAGGGAAGAGACTTGGTGAAGATGTCACATCTCATTCTATTGCTAAGAGAGCTAGGGAGTTAATCTTTTCAGTCAATGCCTCAAAACTTGACTTGAAGTTGTTGAAAGAGGCTTATGGCTTGTTGTTCTCTAAGGAAAAGTATGACTTTGAGGTTTGATTTGGGTGAATTGGGGATCTATTATCAGTGGTGCTGGATTGGGATTTGTTCAGAGCCATGTTGAAATTCTATGTGCCAAAATGTCAAGCTTTTGGTGTTTCCACATTTTGAGTTGGTGCCCACCATTGATGAGTATCATCACTTCCTGTGGTGTAGTCCTGTAGTGGATTCTTGTACTTTTACTCCTCAAATACAACTTGATCAACTTGGAGGAAATTTTGTTACTTGGGAGCTTTTGTACAAACATCAGAAATCTAGATTTGTCAAAGAAAACTTGTTTGAATGAATACAATCTTTCTTCTTGGTCAAAAGTCTATCCAATGAAGTAAAATCCGTGATTAAGGTAGAAATTTTCATTTTTCAAGTCTCATATCACATATGCATATTCATTTGATTATACATGATCACTCATTATCTTTATCTAATCAATTTTGTGTTTAGTTCTCAAGCCTTTTTTGTTTGGACCATCTATGATCTTTGAAAAGAAATATGGATTCTCACACATCCAAGACACAAGCTTTTTCATACAAGACTTTGTTGGAGTATTCTTCCCGTACTCAAAGGCTCAATGAAAAGACCATCTCTTATCTGAACCAGTTGACTAAGGTCAATGAACACCTTCGCAAAGCCAATGAGCAGTTGGAAAGGCAACTACAAGACATGACTATCAACTGTAATTACCATGGAAGATGTGCACTGTCAACTCCAAGCCTAGAAGCAAAAGAACCAAACTCTTGTTGAAGAGAACACTACCCTACGTGAAGTTGTCAGCGACATAACTGCTTTGGTGACTTAATTTGAAGGGAAAATGGCCGAGACTCATCACCACATTGCTCAAAGGACCCATCCAACTGAGAGGGGATTCTTCCAACCAGTCTTCGACTTTATCATTGATATATCTAATGTGCTCAAAAAGTTGTATTAGGATTTATGTCTTGTAATAAGATTGTAAGCACTTTGAATGCAACTTTGTAATGCTTGCCTACTTTGTAGTGCTTACCTACTTTGTCTAAAGTGCATTCCTTAGCTTATCTTAGCTTTAAAAGAATGAATTTGTAAGCACTGTGAATGCAACTTTGTAATGCTTGCTAACTTTGTTTAAAGTGCATTTCTTTAGTTAATGAAAAGTCATGTTCTAGTACAACTTATTGTAAAATAGGAAAATATCTTTGCACAAGATGGGAATGCCAGTGTGAGAATCCATATGGAATTTCAAAAGGAAACTGATGGTCCAATCAAAAAGGGCTAAAGTCTTTTTAGTTTTCTAATTTTTTTCCTTTTTATCTTTACATTCCTGTTGATAGGTAAAAGTTGTTTTAATCATAGCTCCAAGGCAGAAGATCTTCAAAAAGCGACATTCTTCGTATTTGCTCAGATCTAGAGTAATCACGATGTTCGAAGAAAATACTGCTACTAATCCAAAAAAATCAACTGTTGATGAAAGGGTTGATAAATTGGAGGCTACAATGCAAACTATGGCTATGACTCTTCAGGCCATCAGTCTCACTTTGTCAAATCTGACTACTAGTTTTGTTTCTTCATCTATAGCCTTGGTATCTACAACACCTACCCCATCTGTTCCTATTCCATCATCTACCATCGCACCGGGTAGTCGTGCTAAGGCTCCCATGGTCACACAATTGCAGTTTCCACCCATTTATGAGAATCAACCTTTAGTGGGGAAGTCATCTTCACATGCACCATAAATGTCACCTCTACTTGTGGAAACCTCACATCTACCACTCGAGATGAACAACCCTATTTTGCTCACAACCACACCTCTTACCTTTAACATGCCACCTTTGATGGGACAAGTGCCAGCTATTCAACCTACCCCCCTTAGTTGAGATGTTGAGGCCAGTTTTAGAGGACGGGAGATCAAGGAAGGTTGATCACAAGTTGCAACAGTTAGAAGAGGCTTTGAAAGCGATGCAAAGGCCATAGTTTTATGGTTTTATTGATTTAGATTATCTCCGCTACTATCTAGGAATCCAGAGGAATTTCAAGTTCAAATAGCCAAATTTTGACAGGTATGATGGCTCAAGTTGTCCTTATGCCCACTTGCAGATGTACGCCAGGAAAATGGCACCTAATGCCAAGGGTAAAAGGGTGCTCATTCATTACTTTCAAGACAGTCTGTCAGGCCCAGCAAGTATTTGGTTCTCCATTCTTGACAAAAAGAAGATTCGCACTTTCAAGGATGTGTCTCAAACTTTCATGAAGCAGTATGAGTATAATATCAGTCTAGCTCCTACTAGGGATAGCTTGCAGAGAATCACCAAGAAGGGTAATGAGACTTTCAAGGAGTTTGCTCAATGGTGGAGATCCGAAGCAGCTAAAGTCATTCCACCTCTCACCGACAGTGAAATATGCTCTCTCTTTATCAAGTCAACTACTGGGATCTTCCGTGCATGGTTAGCTCCTTGTGTGGGATATACTTTTGCTCAACTAGTGACAGCGGGTGAACAAATTGAAGATGGACTTAAGACAAGCATAATTATGGACTTTCAAGCCATCCAAAAACAATTAAAACAAGTCAAAATGGGCAGTGCAGGATCTACTTTAAAGAAGTTTGCACCCGACGGAGAAAGAAGATGAAGAAGCTTTTAGTCATATTTCCACTTGTCATGCAAAACCAATTTATAATGTGGCAAAGATTCCTTATAATCAGCAACCTCAATTGCAATACACTTCGGCCTTTAAGCTTACCACCTATCCTCAGAGGAGGCCAAACTTTAATACTCAAGCTCCAACTAGGCAACAATTCCCATCGACTAATAGGCCATGGCAATTCACCAAGCTTCCAATCCCTTACAGTGAGGTGTTGGAACAATTGGTGGCAGTGGGTTTGGTGGAGACATTGCAAATCTACCCTATTTGACCACCTTATCCGCATTGGTATGATCTGCAAGCTAAATGTGAATATCATAATGTAGTGGGTCATAGTACTGAACATTGTACAACTTTGAAGCATAAAATTCAAGATCTCATCGACGAGGGTAAACTTCAGCTTGATGCTAAGGAAGCCGAGAGCACTCCAAACATCACTCGAAATCCTTTACCCCCTCATGATGCAGGCACAATGAATATGGTTGCCCTTGATGAAGTTGAAAAGCTCGTGTTGGAGAATGCCAATTTTTTGTCTCTTGATGAATTGTTTGCCATTTTGACAAAATATAATTTGATTCAACCGATTGCGCAAATGAGCTTGAATGTTTCACCTGTGATAATTGATGATGCCTTGGTTTGTCCTTACCACTCCAATATGAAGGGGCATACTTTGAAAGATTGTGAAGATTTTCAGAAAAAGGTTAAGGAGTTACAAGCAATGGGATCTTTGAAGTTTATGTTTGCTCAAGAGTCAGAAAAATCCATAGCATAGTTTAAGGAAATGGCTGAGGATGATATTACTAATGAAGTTTGTTCTGATGATGAGGAAGACTATTTTGGCTTCAACAACCTCTTTGAGCCAACCAACATGATAGATCCTAAGGAAAGGTGGAGGAGGATGCTTGTTGAAAGGGCATCCATGGAGAAGCACCCCAACTTCCATCTTGTTCATCATGCGAAAGCTCCAATGGGTTCACATGAGTCTATGCTTCTTGGAATAAGGGAAGAAGAATCACTATGTGACTCATGGAGAAATTTGACTATAAATGGTTTAGATAAGGAACAATTGAAATTTGATAGGGGAGTTTCACTAGTCAATGGAAGCTTTCAGGCTAATTGGACAGCAGAACTTCTCCCTGCAACTTTCATCTTTGAGTAAAAGAAGTCAGCCTCTAGTAGTTTTACTTGTGACTATGTGAAGGGAGGGATTCCACAAGCACCTTTATATTTTCTGAAATTTATGTTATCATGCTTCTAGTATTCCCATGCTTTCCTTTTCAATGAAACATGTTGCAATCCTATCTATCATTGTAAACACCATCATGATGCAACTTTACTTGAACTTTTATTGTACAAACCACTCTTTAATGATATATTTCATGAGGTTATCCAATAACATGTTCTTATCTTTGCTTTATTATCATGTGACCATTTATTTACTTCCATCCAAATTTTCAAGCCTACTAATGATGAATCCTCAAACAATGTTGCTATGTTAGACTTTATATGTGAGATGGATGATCAGACTTATAATGAAGAAGACAATGAAAGTCTTGATCTCTCTCATGAACTATCTCAAATATTAAGAGAGGAAGAACCAAAGCTGCAACCAAATCAAGAGACAGAAACCATTAATAGGGGCACTGAAGATGACAAAAAGGAGATTAAAAAAAAAATCGATGCTTATCTATGAAAAAAAAAAAAAGAGAAAGAAAGAAAAGAGTTGATAGTCTCAACTTGCTTGATGAAGAAAGATTGATAATTCTTTGTTATGGCCAATGTTATCAGGAACGAATGGCAGCAACTTACAACAAGAAGGTCAGACCTAGAGTATTTCATCAAGGAGATCTTATCCTAAGGAAGATCATGCTAAATGAAAAGGAACCTAGGGGCAAATTTACACCAAACTATGAAAGGCCATATGTTGTTAAAGAAGCTTTCTTTGGATGAACACTCTTGTTGAGATATCCATATGGAATTGATTATCATCATCCAATGAACGCCAATATCATCAACAAAAAGAAGAAAAAAAAAGAAGAAAAAAAAAAGAAAAAAAGAGAGAGTTAGGTCAAAACGGAGAAAGCCAGTCTAACAAGTTAAAAGTTTCCTTGACTTGGAAAGTGGAAATCCAATGATGAAAGGCCCTATTTCTCCATCCTAAATAGTTGAACATTACCCTTTTGCTTACCCCTTTTGAGTTAGAAAAAGGTAATCATTCAAATTTACAAAACCCAAAGTGATTTTCTTTCTATTAACCCACATTAATGACCAGGGAAGTGAAGAGAGGAATATGAGGGGAATATATGGATTTTGAGCCTTTATCCTTTCTTTCATCGTAACCTAACCCAAGCCATGTTACAAGCCTAGGAAAAGTCCTTATTTGAGGGTTTGAAGCCTTCTATGTCAAGGGGCATACATTAAAAAAAAAGAAAAAAAAGAGAGGAGACATCAAAGCTCCAAGCATTGACAGTGGAAAACTTCCTTCTTCTAAGCACAAGAGTTAGTTCATGAAAAGGGGAAAGATTTGAAGTGTCAACATTTAAAAAGGGAATGAAATTCTCTCTCATGGACTAAAGGACTGATGGGTAGAGTTGCAAAAGAAAAGATGATCTGAAGTAATGATTTATGGTCTAAATATCTTGTAACCCATTACAGCAAAATCTTGTGTTACTAGCTAGACTTCTTTTGTCACTAAAGGAAGTTGACCATTTGATTATTCAGCCCTTTCTTGAATCCAGTGGAATCAATCTTTGCTATTGTTCTGTTTGCGTTTTACTCCAACCTTGCCTTTTATTTAGTATTGGGAATATTAGTTGAATATGATAGATTCATTTCAGTTAATATAATTGTCTATCTAATTCAAACCTCTTGATGAATTCGAAAGGTTGGATGAGGATTATAGGGAGAAATGAAGCCGAATTCCATAGCTAAGGAGTCATCCATGCTAGCTAAAACTCCAATAGCAAATGAAAGTTCAACTTATTGGAGCAATATTTTCAAATATCTCCTCATGGGAAACAAATGAGATTCCACCTCTTGCATTCAATATGGCATTTGTGAATGTGGATCTTTTGAGTTGCTACATAGGGATAATCACTGATTGATGAATGTGCAACATGAAAGACACAAGACTCTTGTCAAATATAGACATCCAATATGTTCAGGGAAGTTTCTTAACCTCTCTTCATTCTACCTTATCTTATATATGAAGATTGTCTCACTTGCATATGTTTCATGGTTGCGAATCTTTTAAAAAAGTTTCATGGTTGCGGATTACTCTACTGTTCCGGTCATTCGACCATACTCATACTCTACTATTACGGTCATTCGACCATATTGATACTTTACTGTTTCGGTCACTCGACCATACTCATACTCTACTATTACGGTCATTCGACCATATTGATACTTTACTGTTTCGGTCACTCGACCATACTCATACTCATACTGATACTCTACTATTTCGGTCACTTGACCATACTCATACTCTACTATTATGGTCATTCAACCATACTAATACTCTACTGTTTCGGTCACTCGACCATACCCATACTCTATTGCTCTGGTCATTCGACCATACTGATACTCTACTGTTTTGGTCACTCGACCATACTCATACTCTACTGCTCTAGTCATTCGACCATACTCATATTCTACTGTTAGGTCATTCGACCTTACTAATACTCTACTGTTCCAGTCATTTGACCATACTGATGCTATACTTTTTCGGTCCTTTGACCATACTTGTACTCTACTCTACTTTCTTTGATCATTTGATCAATTTTTACTTTATTTGTTCGGTCATTCGACCATTATAGTTTCTTAACCATTTAGGATCAGCTTGTTTAAAAATCAATTCATCTAAGATCAACTCAGCTAAGATAAACTCATTTAAGATCAAAATCATTTAAGATTAACTTACTCAATCAGCTTGGTCATTTGACCGTAGCTACCCAACTTACTTGGTCGTTTGACTGTTGCAACTTAAATTTTAAAATCAACTCATTTAAGATCAACTCACTTAACATCAACTTGCTTGGTCATTCGACCATGGCAGTTATAAAACTGTTTTTACTTTACTTGTTCGGTCATTCGACCGTTGCGGTTTCTTAACCATTTTCACTTTGCTTGTTCGATCATTCGACCGTTGTAGTTATAAAACTATTTTTACTTTACTTGTTCGATCAAATGACCGTTGCGGTTTTTTAATCGTTTTTACTTTACTTGTTTGGTCAAACGACTATTGCGATTTCTTAACCATTTTTACTTTACCTGTTTAGTCATTCAACGCATTTTACTTTACCTGTTTAGTTATCAAAAATAAAAAAAGAGTTGAAAATTTGAGTTATTCTTGTCTTTTCTTTTCAGTCTTTGCAAAAATAAAAGAAAAGAGAGGCAACTATCATAACTCAAATTTTTAATAGAATTTTATTTTTATTTTTATTTTAGTCTTATTTTTATTTTAACTAATATGTTTTATCTTTGTTTGCCTTGTTAGGTTCTAGAACAAAAAAGGGGATTTTTGCAAAAAGGCACTAATTCTGGCTATGTAAAAGAAGTAATGTCTCTAGTAGGTTGGTGATGATGTGACTCAAGTGCTAGTAATGCATTTGATGTATAAGCAAATATAAAAGATTCAAATGTTACTTGTGCAAAAAGATAATACCACTGGTTGGTTTGAAGCCATGAGACTATAATGTTGATGAAGCAAAATGACAAGCAAGCTTGTTTGGTGGTGTAAGATAATCAATTTCGCCAAGAGACATAAAGTGCTTATAGGATATTTCATTCTTAGCTTCAAAAGCTAGACATTTTGCTTCGCTTTGCATGGATAGTTGAGGTGCGAGCAGTGGCCTTCTTTTCTGCTGACTTCACTATAGACTTCCAACAGAGATGGCTTTGACAAAAATGGCTATTCTCCTAGCAGCATTAAGTAGCCTTGCACACTGACTTATCTTGATATTTTCAAGGATAGCACGATATCTTGGGAACATGTTGTTGATGTAGATCTCCACCAAGAAAGATTCAACATGGCCGCCATAACAATCAAGTACCAAATTTGTAAACCTTTTTGCATAAACCACCAAATCTTTGCCAGCACATTGGCGAGTATTATAAAGATCAAGAATGGTATTGCGCTCCTCACTTTGAAAATATATTTGACAAAATTGCTCAACCATTTCATCCCAAGAGTGGATAAAGCTAGGGAGCAAAGTAGTATACCAAGTGTAAGCTCTATCGGAGAGGGTTTTAGAAAACTCACTTAGGCACAAGTCCTTATCACCAGCGTGAGCCCCCAAGGCATCAAAGAACTTGTTGACATACTCTACACTGCTGCCCTTTCTCCCATCATATTGCGGGAATGTAGGACTTTCATATTTCTTTGGGTAGGGCTTTGATAAAATCTCCTTCGAGTATGGTGGATCATCGATGAACCAAAAAGTGGTTGAACTTTGTCTGAAACACTCCCTATCTAAGAGAACAATAAGATCCGTCATGGTGACGAAGCCTTAAGTAGAGTTGGCTACATTGGGTGGAGTTCCATCGATGCTAGCAACTGCAATTACTGTTGAAGCTGAGTTATTTGGTTTCACAGTAAAGCCCCCAGTACCATCGATAGCTCCAATCTAAACCTCTTATGCCCCAGCCATGTTGACTAATTATGCTAGATCCTGCATAGTATGTTAAGCTTGCAAGTTGGCGAGAAGATGAGTAGTTCTTTGTTGATCCTTGTGCAAAATCGAATAACTTGGATCAGAGATGCAAGATTAGGATCAATGATTCCTTGCAAGATATCATCCAAAATGTGTCAGTCGACATTGCTGCTAAACTTCCCATCTATAATCTTGGTTAGGCTCTTGATTTTCGTCAACGATGTGAGATGAAGTTGTTCTTGTGACAGGCATGGTCAAAAAATTTCTTTTGAAGACGAATAAATATTGTTGAGGAAGAATGTTGAAGATATTACGCTATTGAAGAGCAAAACAAGACGAAGCTCTAAGATGACCTCCCTAGTGGAGTCGCCATTTTTGTTGGAATGTGCTGGTGATGTAGGTTGATGAGTTAATAGCGGTGATGATGTGGAGGCTGACTAGAATGCCAACCGTGAATGATGAGGAGGGTCATTTTGGCAGCAACTGTTTCACGTGCAAGAGGCTACGTGCCACGGGTCGTCACGTTCTGCCAGCAATGTTGGTCAGCACCACCAAATTCCCCAACAAAGTCTGAAGGTGTAAGTTTTCTAGCCAAGTCGAGAAGGAGAACTAATAGTGATGATAAAGTTCCAAGATGTCCAACAATGTTGCTCAGCAACATATTCCCCAACAAAGTCTAAAAATAGAGTTTCTCCAACAAAGTCTGGGAGTAGAGTTTCTCTAGCGAAGATCGAGAGTATAGTTTCTCTAGTGAAGTTTAGAAATAGAATGTCCCCAGCTAAGCCAAAAAGAGTGGGGTGGCGATGGTGCTCCCAGGATAACAAGAATGATTACACAACTACCAAAAATAATGAAAATGAAATGTACATTACTATAGGAGCAGCAAGGGTAGAAAATATGTAAGGGTTAAAAATTACAACTTGAGAAGCATATTTTTACATAGTATATTGTAGCACAATAGCAAAGACAACGAATGTGCCCTCTACTATCCTTGACAAATACTTCAACTCTATAATAAGCAACCCTCACATTGTAAATAAAAGGCACAATGGTCTCTTTCAAGCTTTAACAAGATAAAAGGAATAAACTTAAAAGTAGTGATGGGAAAAGGAAGGATGACTGTTGTGGGGGCTTGTGAATGGAGGGCTTGATCTTATTTTTTATGCTAACTCTTTAGCTTGAACCTCTAATGCTCAAGAAAATAACCTAGAAATTGAAGCTGCAATATGTTGTCTCCCAGCCATGATGTTTTTCGAGTCTGAAAAATATTCTATAGTGCTACAAAATATTCTACATTATTAGAGATGCAGAATATCAAAGAAAAATGGTGATTTCTAGGTGATTTTAGTGAGTAGGGTGAGTGCGTGAGGATGAAGTATTTTTCAGAGGAAAAAAGGGAGATCTGGTACGTGAGAAGGAAACTGAAGTTGTGAAAAATCTAGTCAGTTCTGTTGAAAAATGAAGGGATAATAATATATATGTATAGTGGCATTTTTGTAATTTTTGGGTTAGTGGATCAGAGGTGTACAATGGCCCAATGGGTAGATTTGGGTAAACTGTTGAGTTTTGAGTGGCTTTAGGCATTGTTGACAGTTTTTTTGCAATGATATTATTAATTACCTAGTGGTTCTCGCGAAGCACCACCAATTCCAGTGAAGTATTGCTAATCTGCTGAAAACTATCCATTTTTAGTAACTCTAGCCATATGAAATTCCATTTTTGGAGGTATAATTGAGTATAACCAGCAAAATCAGATCTAGCCAAGATTTTGGTAGATTTCTAAGGGCTGCCCAAGATATTGGTAGAATTCCCAAGGTATGCCTAAGATTTTGGTAGATTTTCCCAACGAAATCAAATCTTTTTCAACAATTTCAAGTTTCCAAATTTAAGCCAGCTCTTAGGCCATAGCCAGCTCTTTGTCTCCTAGATTAGGTGGATCCTTGCCTAAAACCTGACTTGAATCGACATCAAAGCCTACTCTACTATTAAAGTCGGCTCTCTAGGTAGTTTTTAATCATTCTATCTTTTTTCATTTGGCATTCCAAACCTATTTTTTCCTCTAGAAATCACACTCATTCTCCTTCCAAACACCCAAATCTCACTAGATTTATAATAGCCACCATCCACACACTCAAATACCTCAATATTCTAATATTCTAACATACCCAACATTGATCTTCAAGTTTTTGCTACAATTTCGTGTGGAATATGTTGTTCTCTCTCTCTCTCATGGCTTCAAGAAGGGGTGGCAACAAAAGGAAACAAGTTGGCAGTTCAAGTGTAAAAGGAAAAGCTGTGGAAGGATAAAATAGATGTAGTGGGAAGAGTTTGAAAGATGGGAATAATTTTGAAAGGCTTATATTAGTGCATGTAAAAGGGTTTGAGTACCCCTTGTACTCTTTTATTAATTGAACTTCATTTGCTGATCAAAAAAAAAAAAAAAAGTGTAAAAGAAAAAGTTGAAGAAGGAGGTCAAATTAATGTGGGTATTCTTACACCAAAAAATAGAGCATTATAGTGGATTGTTAGTCATATTATTACTCTAAGAAAGGGCTCTAAATCTGTTATACTTATCAGTGATCTTTCATGGATTGATTATTTTCTCAAGAGGAAAAGGCTAAATCTTGGAAAATTTATTTATTGAAATATAATGAAGAATTACTCAGTTGATATAGGACTTCCTCACAGTGCTCTGACTATTAGATTGGTGAAGAGGAACAATATTGATCTTACACCTTATAAGCTTGGGAAGATTAAAGCTGGAAATACACTGAACAAGGCTTCTTTTGAAAAATATTATGAGGTCAAGAATGGTGTTTGGATCAAGAAAGGGTATCAACCAATGGAACAACAAGGGAATGAAGATGAAGGAGATGCAAACCAGAGTATGGAAGAGTAAGAGGAAAAAGGATATAGGTGTGAAGGCCAAAGGCCTTTTCTAATTTCAATGCAAAGAACATAGTGAGAAACCTTAGAGTTTATAGTTAATGAGATGAGGTAGCTACACATTGATTTTTATGATTTCCGGAATGAGATGAGAGGATATATGGATTCCATGAATGGAAAACTTGATCAAATTGTTAACCATTTCTTTCCCCCACCCCACCTAATGCCACCTAACTTGATGTTTCTCTCTTTTGGCTAATCTTTAGGCTAGACATCATGGGCATGTGCTCTTTAGTTTTTAGGTTGAACTTTATTCTACTATCTTTTTTTTGCTTGTAAAGTTAATTGTTACTATGTTCTTCATTGTCTATGCATTTTTCTTTAACTTATTATTATAAGTTATGGATTTTAATGGTATATGACCTTGTGATTGCTTATGATTTTGATGATTATATTTTTAAGTGCTTTCATTGAGGGGGAGCAATATGTTAGTTTCTATTATGCTTTATGTGCATATTTGTGGTGATTTTAAAGGTTGATATGCATGTGTTAAAAGGGAGCCTTTTAGTTATGGTTATATGCTTTTTGATGAATGACAAAAAGGGGGAGAAAGAGTGTTGAAATTTTTGCAAACTTTTATGCTTTCGGGATTGTTTATATGCTTAATTTCTGGACTATATATATGCTTTTATCTATTCTCAAAGTATTTAGGCATCATAAAAAAGGGAGAGATTGTTGTCCTTATGATTTTGACGATTACAAAACACCTTTGAATGACTAATTTGTTCATCTAAATGTGTAGTTTATCACCTAAAAGATGGCAAAAGTAAATGAACTTCATTGCACTAAAAATGGACCAAAAGTGCTGAAATTGGTGTAAAAAGCTAGCTCTACAATTTGGTAGCCGACTCCAGTGAGAAAAATGCAAAGAGCTGGCTTTGGAAGTTGCAACTGGTTTTATAGGAGATAGATTCAAATCTGTAGTTTGGCACACATGGAAAATGGATGCAAAGTCAGCTCTAACTTTGCAGTCGACTATGATGACACATTTAATTCTCAACGGTCAAGTTATTTAAAGATTATTTAATCTTTTGAAGTCAAGTTTCTTGAGCCAGCTTTGTGTTTTGTAGCCAACTCTTTAGAAAAATAGAATGTGTAAGAGAAGCTAGAAAGTCGACTCTAAACATGAAAGCCGACTCTACAAATCCAACTCTAGACATGAAAGCCAGCTTTATAAAGTCAGCTCTGAAGGTAGAGCCGGCTTTACTGACAATGTCTGCAATGCATTTTCTCAAACTTAAATTGATTTGCAGAGCATTTAATGAACCCCAACAACTAGAAATGGCTATTTTCAACCAAGGGGGTATAAATATGGTAGGTAGAAGATCTGAAACAACTTTTAGCATTTACATTGTATATCCTCTATCTACCAACTTGTGCTTTAACTTAAGATTTTGATCTTTGAGTGATCTTTACTTATAATCCTATACTTGTTTTCTTTGAGAGTTAGGGGTATGATTATTGCTTCAAGAGTGATTTGTAGTGAAGATTATTGGGTTTGTTTTATAAAGGGGTGAGATTTGAGAAAAAAAAGCCCATCTTCTTGTAAAATGATTGAGTGGCTCCTTTAAGCCACACTTGTTCTTCTTAGTGGAGAGTGTGAAGAAAATCCTTGGTAAGTGAAGGCAAGGTAAAGGACTAGACTCTAACTGATTAGATCAAACCTCTATAAAATTATTATGCAAGCCTTTCTTCTGTACTCTCTTTGATTTTTTGCTTTGTGATTGCAAAGAGCAAGAAAATTTTGATTTTTCTTGGAGTACATTGAGCCAACATAAAGTAGTCAAAATTATTGGCAAATCTAATGACATTGTTTGTTGGATTATGAGGAGAACAAATAACCTAATAACATGTAATAGTCTCCACTCACTTTCTTAAGCAAAACAAGCCACAATCTCTCATTCACTTGCAAGCCCAAACCACTACCACTAACAATCTTTGCCTTCAATCCACCAACTGCCTCCTAACCCGAACTCTTTGTTGCCATCGATTATTGTCTCTCACTTGTCCCATAGAACCTAAATGAGGGACTCAACACATACCAGAATCTTTGTAATTGCACCAAACTAGAAGTCCTTTTTCAGTCCGCGTCTTCACTTTGGATGAACCTGCAAAGCCCCAAGGTGGGTCCTCGGGGTAAACACTCCAATACTTAAGTCAGCAATAATTGGATCTACCTTTTTAGAATAATTAAAGAGGAGCTTTAGGTCAATTTCAATTACCTTTCTGAGGTGGCCCCTATGGGGTATTTATAGGCCTTAGTAAGGTGTTCATGTGGCTTGCTTAACAGGATAATCGGAGTGTGACGTGTCCCTTAAGGTGGTAAATTCGGGACTGGGAAACTGTGTGTGATAGATCAGGTGTGGGCATGTCTACTGTATTTATCATGTAGCCATTTGACCGGGAACTGCAGGATTTAACTTCACTTCGGCTATTAAGGAATTGTTACAGTATGTCCGAGGTTAAGGACCTCAGACCTATCCTTACACTATTCCCCCCTCGAAGTCATTCACTTGTGAATGATGTTGTTAGATATAATAGGAGTAGTGCATAAATAGATAAAAAGAGGAATGAAAATATTAAAGATGAGTTACAGAAGTTAAAAATTAGTAACTCAAATTCTTGTATGGCCGTAACTAATAGTGGAATATGTGACATGGGGTCATTTTGGCCATTCCCAAAATAAAATGTGACCGAAATGATTGTGGCCGGGGCTATAGTGAAAATAATGACCGGAGTCAGTATGGCCAGAGCTGTAGTAAAAAGTGATGACCAGAGTCATAGTGGTCGGAGCCGTAGTAAAAAGTAATGATCGGCATCATAGTGGCTGGAGCCGTAGTAAAAGGTAATGATTGGAGTCATAGTTGCCGGAGCTGAAGCAAAATATGTGACATGGAGTTACTATGGCCAGAGCCGAAGTGAAATATGTGACACAGAGTCACTATGGCTGGAGCCGAAGTAAAATATGTGACACAAGGTCACAATGGTCGGAGCCGAGGTAACAGGTGTGACCAAAGTCATTGTGGTCGAAGTCGAGGTAACAAGTGATGACCGTAGTCATTGCGGCTAGAGCCGAGGTAAAAAGTGAGGACGTACTCATTGCGGTCGGAGCTGAGGTAAAATATGTGACCGGGGTCACAATAGTCGGAGCCGAGGTCAAACACTTGTAAAGTTGAAAAATTTTATTATGAAAGGAAACAGAAATACTAAACTAGGCTTAGTGGGGCTCGTTAAAAAAGTCTGACATAGAGTTAGTGCATGGCGTGACAGCTGTCTGTCGAAAGACCTGCATAATAAATACGGGTTGTAAAAAAGTAACTGCTACAGTTAAGCGGACGGGATCGAAAACAAACCGTCAAATTTGAGGGATTTCTATTAGGGATTAACCGTCGAATTCGAAATGGTGTAACCGTGACCGTCAAATGAAATTAATCAAAGTCGTTGAGGCGTATATTTCCTTTGGTATATATAGCTATACTTCTGTAAAAAGATGTTTATTTTCTCCGTATTTGCTACCGAAGTGCTGCCAAAATCGCTACAGTGTTTGTGTGACACATTTTCGAATTCAAAACTTATTCTGCACTATCGAAATTAAGTAACTTATGAACTTCTGTGATTCAAGTTCTAGTGGTGAATTTTATTCTCCTCTCACCCTTTTTGATTTTGATTTAAGCCCTCTTAAAGAGGTTAGGGTTAGGAGTGAGAGTGATATTAAGCGTGAGTTAGAGTTTTTTGAAGATCTTGACTACATCCCTCCCCCTACTCCGTGTAGTGAAAGTTACGAGACTGAGGAAATGTCTTTTGAGGAAACGTTGAGCATTTGGGGGAGCGAGGAAGTAAGGATGCTGGAGTACAGCTATGTAAGTGTTGAGGGTGAGTCATCTGGGTCTGAGCGTACAGAGGGAGGGGTAGGTAGAAATGAAGTTGTTGAGGTTGGGGCAGAAAAGGTGCTTGTCAATATATTGAAAGTGGGAGATAGGAGTGATAAGTTTTACGATAGTGGGGCAGACATTGTGTCTGAGGTAAAGGGGTATGAGTCTGAGCTCAGGAGTAGGGATAGCTTGAGTTATCTCGTAGAAACTTATGAGATCTCTTCTAGAGTATTAATTAGGCCTGTTGGAGTGAAAGAAAGGGCATGCTTTGCACCTCGGGATCACTGGATGCCAGCGTATGCCCATTATTTGGCAGCAAGGCTTAGGTTTCCATTGCCTGATTTGTTGGTGTGGCTGTTGTTGAAGTATAGTGTAGGTTTGACCCAATTATCTCCCAATGCGGTGAGAGTGATAATTGGGTTCATAGTATACTACTGGGCTAGTGGGGTTAGGGTGCTGATAGTAAATATGTTTAAGCACTTTTTTGTGCTGAAGGCTATAAGTAAAAAGGAGAAGGGGTGGTACTACTTTACACCTCGGTCGTCCAACAAAGAAAAGAGAAACCTGTTTAGTGCAAGGCCTTCCTCTATCAAGGGGTGGAAGGAAAAAATTTTCTTTGTTGATGACACCAAGTGGGAGAAGAGGGATGGGGAAGTAGAGGTTTTGTCTACCTAGAAGGCTAAAAGGGCCAACCAGAATAAGTATAGTTTAAATAGTGATAAGGCGGAAGAAGTAGAGAAGTTGGTGAGAAAGGAGGGTGACATAATAGATATTATGTTTCTCACCAGCTCGGATGTCATAGAAGCAGCTGAGCTTTATGGGCCGAGCTCAATGAGCAAAGGTGTGTTGGAATCTTGTGTGATGTGTGTAAGAGTTGAGTTTTGATTTGTAGATTTTAACAGAATTGTTGTGTTGTAGCTGAAATGGACAAACTTCTGGGTGTTGCTGGTGGGGTGGCTATTCCTAAGAAGCTGAGGAAGAAGTCCAAGACTTTGGAGAAGGCTACAAGTGGGAAAGGAGGTGGTAACACGGAGAAAGGGCAGATGTCAAGTACATAAGCCCAAGCTGCAGAGGAGGTGGAGCTGAGGTCCAAAAGGAAGAGGGATGAAGTGGATCAAGCTTAGAAGAAAACGAGGAGAGTGGAGGATGAGGTCAGGGGGGACGAGGTAGTGGAATTCGTACCTCGGCCTACGCTTGTTGAGCTTAATCCAGACCTCAAAGAGACCGAGGTACCTGCCCTTGGCAAGGGTAAAGCGTTTGTTCCCACACCTTTTCTCCAAAGCAGCATTTTTGGGAACAAAAACTTCTCCGCGGTAAAGAATTTCATCAATGCCTATGTGCCTGAGGTGGATCGCCATAAAGCGAGGGAGGAAGAATTGGTACATGGAGGGACCTCAATTATGAGGCTTGCCCTAAAGGTAAGCTTGGTGATTACATCTGTTGTATGCTATGTTTTTTGTTTTTTTTTTTTTTT